GCGCGCACGCGCGCGCACGCGCGCGCTCCGCCCTTGCGCCGTTTTCGGCGGCATGCACGGCTGCAAGCATGACACGCGATCAACCCGCCTCGAGCTTCTACCTGCGCTGCCCGCCCATGGGCGCAGCCCCTTAAAAAAAAACAAAAATAAATATATATATATATCCCTAGGTCGAAAAAACCCCAGCACTCCCGAACAGGAGATAAACGTTGCCGTAGCAGCAGAAAATCCGACGGCCCCAAACAAAGGAAGGAAAAGCCCCTCAGAGCTTCATGAGCCTCTGCAGGGGAAAGGCGCGCTCATGGAGCCATGCCAACATGCAGCAAAATTTGGCCCATGCTCCAGCTCTCTATTGCTTCTACTACCCACTGAAACAGACACAGGGGATTAGGGATCCGGTTCCGCTCTGCGCTGTCGTACACCTCTTGCTGCTCTGCAAACACATTCGGCTGCTGATGCGCACCATCCTGCACCGTCTCACCTGTTCCACTGAGGAGCCGATCTCTCTCTCCGACGCTTCCTTTTGCGAGCGCGCGCCGATGTCTTGAAGACACCTGGCCTCTGGGGGCCTCCTGTGCTCTGCACCAGGAGGGGCTCCCAAGTACTTCCGAGGCCACACCACTCCTTGTAGAAGCCCTCATGCTGAAACTTCCGAGGGTTGTCTTGACCCTCATGCTAGCTGTTAATGAACCCAAACTTGCAAAGCTTCTGACCCTGATGGTGTGACCATGCGCACCCTGCCTTCACGTTGCCCATCAACTCGCACACGCGAGCGTGTCCAAACAATTTCTTGTTGGTCTTGTAGAGGTATTGGGTGGCCCATGAGTTCGACTGCGTTGCTGGATGGAACCAGCAGTGGTGGTGCACGGCTTTGGCGACACCATGCACTGGCCAGGTCGCAGGTCGCTTCAAGGATGAACTCCACAGCCCTGGCTAACCCCCACGGCTTCTGAAGCTCTTCAACTCAAACCCATCTTTCCGACGAAGGGGTAGTAGTCGATGCTCAGTGTAGGCCACCACATTCTCGCTCTTTTGAAAATCTCCGGGATCTTCTCGATGGGGCCTGCGCTCAAGCACATCTCCAATGAAATGCTGACCTTGAAGCTGCTGAAAAACACGCCCCAACCGCCGCAGGAATGAGATGTCTCCACATGCAGCAGCACTTTGATTTGAAGTCCCCCCCAGGAACTCCCCGAACTCTGAGACCCGCCAAACACATCTTGGAGAGGCGGTTCTCCAGGTATAAAAGCCATCCCCTGTGCAGCGAGATCCTCCAGGGGTCCAGGTGGCAAAGCCAGAGGACCTGCAGAGAAGGGGGCTTGGGCCGGGGAACGATAGGTCCGATAGTGCGCTCTTTTGGGGATGGCTTGCGGATCTAGGGGTGTAAGGGTCGAAGCGAAGGGTTTAGGTTTGAGTTACCACCCAAGCACTCCACTCGGATTTGCTGCGGTGAAGAGTGAAGCAGAGAATCTTATGCACCAAGCACGCATGTCTCAGTCTCAAGTTGCGAGGCGGCCCTGGCTTTGCACAGCATCAGCCTCGGCATGCCGGTCAAGCTTTCTCAGCGAATTTGCCAGATTGCCCTGAGTTCTCAGGGTATGGGGGTGAGTTGGCCCCAGCGCCTGCTGCTGGGCAGCCAGCACCTCTTTGTATACATCCACAGCTTCAGCATGCCGGCCGAGGTTGCTCAGCGAAGCCGCCAGATTGCCCTGAGTTCTCAGGGTTTCGGGGTGAGTTGGCCCCAGCGCCTGCTGCTGGGCAGCCAGCACCTCTTTCTCTACATCCAGAGCTTCGGCATGCCGGCCGAGGTTGCTCAGCGAACTCGCCAGATTGCCCTGAGTTGTCAGGGTACTGGGGTGAGTTGGCCCCAGCGCCTGCTGCTGGGCAGCCAGCACCTCTTTCTCTACATCCAGAGCTTCGGCAGGCCGGCCGAGGTCCCTCAGCGAATTCGCCAGATTGCCCTGAGTTATCAGGGTACTGGGGTGAGTTGGCCCCAGCGCCTGCT